AATCGTATTTCTTTGCCTCGTCTTCCCTAGGTAAACAAATTTAATGCTTCTTAACGCAATCGAGATAGGGACTTTATGGATAAGTAATGCCATGAGCTATGAATTTGAAAGGAATGTTAAATTTTTTGCAAAATCTCGTTATATATGCACTAGCTGTTGTGTTAGTATGAGGTAAGTGTAAACGATTTGGTTGCTTCCTATTTATTCACCTCTGCTTATTTTCTTTTTTTTTTCTCTTGACTTTCGTCTTCTTTATTTATAGATCCTTTTCTTTGTTTTTGCCATGTTCCATTACGAATAAAATAAAGATTTATCTCTTCGAAACATAGTCGCATAACGTAATGTTTCATATCATTGTTTAAAAGAAATATTTCATTCTTCAACGAAATAAACCACGGTAACTTTATTATTATACAAGGCATCATATATATATATATATATACACACACACAGAATATTAAATATGAAAAAGTTTTCTTCCATTTATTACTCAAAAACGCATATATCCGATGGATTTCGCAAGTTTATAACTAAATCAGGAAGCCATTCTGTCGGATAAGAATTTCCTTAATTAACGTAAATATTTATGAAACGGTTAAATTTTTAGATACACCAGACCTGCTTTTAATTTACTCGATTTACTTGCTGATTCGTATAGTAATCCTTTCTGGGAAGCGGCGGGGCTTCACTCGTACAAACATTCACCGACTAAATTGCCTGGCACTCGGTAAAGTACACCGAAAAGAAATCAAAGCTCATAAATTTTAAAAGAAAACCTTCGACGATGCCGGAAAGCCGCATCGAGCTCTCCGAGAACCGGAAGTGATTTCGTCGCGGCTGCCACCCTCCCCTCGACCTCTTCCAAAAGCCCCACCAGTCGCTATCCATCTCGATTTCTGTGTCTTCGCTCTCTGCTTTCTTTTTTCACCCACTGCGACCAACGTAATCGCAACTTTGTTTCTTCTAACCCTGTCCATATTAGCTACGTCCGCGCTTCTCTCTGGATTTCCAGTTCGATCCACTGGCCAATTCCTCCCCAACGCCGTCACGCCTTCACTTTCTGTGGTCCAGACAGCGAGGAGGAGGAGAAGGAGAAGGAGGAGGAGGAGGAGGAGACGATAGTGGAGGAGAAGCGAGCCAAAGGAGGAGGAGGAAGGACCATCCATTCTCGTTCAACGCCTCTATTTACCTCCGAGCAGTGCTACCGCGGCTGTAGCTCTGTGCCGACGGAAATTTCGCTCCGTTTCTTTCTTATATCCTTTTACCAACGTTATCTCTCCATCTAGCCTCTGCCCTTTTTTTTCATCCCTTTGTTATTTCGCCCAAAGGGTTTGCAGACTCTGAATTATTTATGTGATTTTTATGTAGGAGCTAATAAAAGCGGACGGATTGATGTAGAGGATTTATTTGGATTTCTTACGTGTCCACGTATAAGATCCGTTTCATTTAGATCTGATAAGTTTCGTGGTCATTTGTGAAAATGCTCCACAAATTGAGGAAAAACTTATCAAATGTATTGAACGTGGAGATTCTGCTTTCCTAATTGTTGAACATTCATCAATGATTATTAATACAAGGCAGTCTTATTGCTAAGATTATCGATAAAAATCATCTGTATTTTCTAATTTATTTTCCATCCACGTTCGATTGGCGATATCGAGGCAATTATTACAGCAATTTCCCTTGCGCATTCACGCGCACGTCTATTTCACATTGAATAAATTAATTTTAAAATCTAATCGGACATGTAAAATGTGGCTACCTCGTGTATGCCAGAATGTGATTGACCGTTGACAAAGAAGAAAAGGTCCTCGACTAATAAGCCAAATATCGAATGTATATATTCGAAAGGGAAACTTTTATGTCAAATATTTTCAACCAAACACATCATATACAGAATACTATCATATATATTACTATTATATATGTGTGTATATGGAAATGTCAATTATTTATTAGGTTATTTTATTTGCATGTTTAAACTTTACAATTTGTTCAGTAATATATGATCATAAGAAATTACATATCTGTGTATATATATGTAATGATATTAAATTATAAAATATCCTTATAACACTTATGCAAACAATGTAGATTGAACATATTTTATAAACACTATCTATGTAAATATTTTACTGGCGATTATAATCAATTTTATTATTTAAATCTTATGTGCCATGTAAGGTGTAATTGTTTAAGATGGAAATATGAAGAAATTAAATGGAAATGCGTAATGCTAAAATAGATGAAATAATTTAAATGGATAGCGAAATAGAAAATTCGAAAATTCTATGTAGAACCTGTAATTTGAAAATCTTTTTTTTTTTTTTTTTTTTTACAATTTTACAGTTTTTAACCCAAAATATGAGATTTAAAATAATGAAGAAATTTCAAAGGACAATAAAGCATTTGGCTATCGATTTCAATTATTGCACGTTAACTTTATGATTGTAGGATGATGATACGATGATTTAAAAGTATACGAAATGTCGGAGAAAAAATTAAAATACTTTGAAAAATGAAAATAAAATATCAATACATTAGAATAGAAAGTTTTAGGCTAACCGCAATTGACAAAATTCAACATTTAATTACAATCTGTGAAGCTCAGTTTTCCTAAATACTTTAATTGGCCTTTGCCTCGATCAAAGCAATAACTCGATCCACGTGTCACGTTCTTAAATTCTTCAATTGCAACATTGAAAATAGTTAAGCACAGTCGTAAGAACAGCAACCTTAAATTCATCGAATTTCAAATTAAATTCAATGCAAATAGAACAAACTAATCTACCATTCGAGCTAAAAAGACATTAAAAGAGATTTGAAATGGACGTTGTGAATGCGCCTGCTGTTAAATAAATTGAATAATACTTAATAAAGTCGGGGGACGATAATACATACAAAGACATAATAACAAAGTTAGCGTCAGAAACAGTTTGCCTCAAAGACTCTCCATAAACTTAGCAGCACGTAATAATTTTTGCCGAATGCCTCCTTGGAATCCTCCTTGGCGCTCCTCCCTGCGGGAAACGATTGTCCGATATCGCATTCGGAGGCCACTTCGAGAGAAAGCTCGGAGAGAAATGGTCGAGTTTAACGACTTATCGACCGTTTTAGCACTGTCAAGAGGTCGCGAGCCACTGGCGGACTTTCCACGGGGAATAAACCTCGGTAGTTTGGATTATTGTGTCATTATTGCTCGGGTAAAGGGGAGGGGGCGATGACAATGCCAAGATTAAAGTAGATTAAGGTGGCGTGAAGTATCGGCAAAAACGGACGATCGAGGATTCTGACCATCTTGAAAATCATAAATCATCGATGCATTGTGCTTCATTGATTTAGGGAAATTTTTTAAAATAGCTTGGCTCAGCGCATAGGAGAATACTTACGGTACAATGTAAACTCACACGATGATTGTGCATTTGGACTTTGAAAGCTGAAATCATGTTGATGTTCTAGCGGGCGGTTCAACTTCCTCGCGACCCTACAAACAGCAACGAGAAGTTAATGCAAAATATCTAATCGTCGCTTACGCAGCGCTGAGAATCGCATTAATTTTCGGTGACGAATCGCGACGAGGAGAGCCGGACGCACCAGCGTGAAGCCCCGAATAATCCAATCGAATTACGAATCCGCAGTACGCGAATGAATTAGAATGTGAAGGGGGTAGGAGGCGGTGTCCTACTAGCGACCCAAACTGGCCGTAGGAAGTTAGCGCAGGCGCGTGCTGCAAGTAGTTACAGACAGCTCGGGTCGGGCCGGGCATACGCGAGTAACAGGATTATTGGCGGTTGCAGACCCACGGGGCCACTAACGCCGCTCGATCGGCCCTTTGGGAGAGCGAGCCCGCACAGCACTAGCCACCCTGCTTCCCCTCCCTCTCCAACAGCATCATCCTTCTCCTCCTCCTCCTCCTCCTCTTCCTCCCTCCGACCCTTTCCCATCCAAAAGCCCGTTCCATTTGCTTTGTAAACGCGTAACCGAGTTCGCCTCGGTAGCCTGAGCTTTTTCTCCGCGTCGGAAGTCCTAATTTTTTTTTTTTTTTTTTTTTTTTTTTGCGACAACCAGTCGATGCGCTTGCCCGCGTAATTTCTGTCGATTTAGCAAATTTAATTAAGGCTGATGCGTATCGAACGGCAACTTGATTACGTGGTATTTGCGCCCCGCAAGAAAGGACGATTTACTTTCAAGCAATTTCGAGGACCTTTCCCACATGCACGGTTCAAGGGCTTTTAAATGCCATTGGAGGATTATCGATTATCCGCGGGAGTATTTATATTCGACAATTAAAATGCGCGCTTTTATCGCCAATAATAAATTCTTTACTACTTTCTTACATTGCATTTTCTTTAATGTCTGGCAAAATGGAATGAAATGAAATATCCCGCTAAAGGACACGGCCATGATAAATATTACTATCGCCTCCTCCTAATATAAATTATGATGGGTGTCCGTTTTTTCTTTCTTTCATTTTTATGTTTACGGCACTACGCGTACAGGTACTTTGCGAGCTGTAGGACCTTTGTCAACTGCTTAATTTTTGCCGATCGAACCACCACTTCCTACCCGAATTTTACACACCAATTTATTACACATAAATAATAATTTTTAACCTCGTTATTTATCGATATTATCGATAAGTAATAGTCAAGGGGTTTATATATAAGAATCGGCGATGATACGAGTGTAGGTAGGGGAGGCGAACTTGACTTGACGAAAAGATACATAAAACGGAGATTATAATTTGAAACCAATCAAATTATAAAAAACCTTTCACTTTTTTACCTTTCAAATCTTACGCTTAACAATTTTAAAGCGCCAATCTGACTTTGCCAACATAGTCGCGAATAATCTATTGAGAAATTGGTCTGCCGTCAAGGACTTATCTCTCGTTGCCGTTAATTACATAAAGTTTGCACAGTCGATGGCGCATTGGACGCGCAATCGGCAGCCTCAGCGAAGCTAAGTGACCAACGACAAACGATGCTTATCTGTTTCAGGCTGGTATCATCGCCGTCGAAGCCAAGCGAGCCTTCCTGCAGCACCAGCAGCAGCTCCAACGTCCAATATGGCGCGACCTTCGCGGTCCGGGTCGGCACCATCGACGGCGTCGTAACCCACAATCTGCGCGCGGAGACGCGAAGGGATCTCGCCGCCTGGGCCCGAGCTATCGTCCAGGGCTGCCACTCGGCCGCCCACTCGCTCCGAGAATACACCGTTCGTAAGTATATCGCCGAGGGAAGAGAATGACTCTCGAGAGCGAATTGGCCTTCAATGTCGCGATTTTCTACATCTCTTGTTCCTCTTTAATGCCTGACGACGAGCCAACGAACTTTTAACGCAGCTGGTTTTTGGCTCTCCCGAGTCGCCTCGCATCTTGATTCCGCGGAATTACGATTATTGGCATACTGTTCGCGCGTACCTGGGCTACGAAAACCCATAATGTTTTAACAAATAACGTTTAACAATTGTCACGTCCTGACAAATGTCTCACGTGGCATTTATAGAATAAGGAATTCGCTCGAGAATTGAACCACTGTAATAGATGTTCCACTTGATTATCAGAATTAATATTGGATTGACAATCCTATATGTCTTATCAATGGCATAATAAATAATTTTAATAGCCATGTGTGCTCACGATTGCGCGAGCCTAGCCCCGTTGTTCCAGACATATTCGCTTGTACCGGGGCTTACATCGACCACTTTTCTATCCTTCGGCTTGACAAATACCTCATCGTCCTTTTATTTTTATCGGCTATATGCAGTTAGCCATAATAGTAGATATTTGACATTTTTCGAACAATGTATAGAACGTATTTGTAACTGGTGTTATTGCCAGAAATATTAAAAAAAAAAATTTTTTTTTTTTTTTACTTCTTTCTTTAATACTATTTCGGATACTATTTCGCGTCTCCGGTTAAATAAAATTTGTTACTTATACCCATGAAAAAGAAAAAGGAAAAAATATCTACACGATAAATAATTAATTTTAATTTGTTTGTTTATTATTATTGTAGTTATCGCTATTATTGTCATTGTTATAAGGATAACGGTGAGAATGAACATTAGTAGAATGGAGAAAAAGTAGGAGAATATAGAAAATTCCATATAAAAAGTTGAAATGAAAATTCATTACGAAAAATTGAATTAACATCAAATTATATAAAGTACATTTTGTTTGAGAAAGTGCCCGTGAAGTCATTAGTAAGGCAGAGACATCCATTTCGTTATTACCGTTGATGTAACGACAACTAAAATAATTCTACCCCAAGTCTTAAATATTAAAGAAATATTAATCAATGTCAATAATAAGTGCGATTGTTCGTACATGCACGATAGGAGGGGAGTACAATTATCAATTAATTATCGCACCCTTGGTTAATATTATTCATTCCTTGATATTATGATTATTTTCTTTCTATTCAACTTTCAATATAGAATTAATGGCTTTTGATTTTTTTTTCTTTTGGCGAATATTCTGTCTCTGATTAGCGACATCGCGAGAACTGCTTGAAACGCAACATATTCCGTATAATTTGAATTTAACGTTCTCATACTTAAATTACTTTCTTTCTTTTTTTTATAATTTCTTGAATCCTTGCTTTCTTTCGTTTGATATTATTCAGAATTCTCTCAAACATATCTTAATTATATATTTATCTGCAAAGCAGATTCGAAGTAGTTAGGAGCGAAATAGACTCAAGCGTTCGTCAGGACAAAATTATTACTATAATATATCCCCGTAAGGTAATTAACTTTTTAAATGTGTTTTTCTTTTTTCATTTTCTTTTTCTTTGTAAATTAACTATAACGAATTTACCAAGTGCAAATAAGTATGGCTAAAAGGAAATAGCTCGAAATTATTTTAATTAAAATATAATGTAAAAAGACAAAAGACAGTATATCCGTGGCAATAAAAAATCCAGTGCTCTTAGGTGACAGGCTCTAGTGAGGTAAGAAATTTCATTACGCCCCTCTTGTTTCATCTACGAATAGCTTGAAAATCCACTTTAGAAAGGGAACGCTATAATTGCATCTCTCATAAGCACACGCTTACTTAACATGCCAAATTTCAGTATTACGCTAGTGTGATAAGGGGGGGGGGGGGGGGGGGGGGGGGGGGGGGGACAAACGAAAAAGCAATGGAAATATTAATGCAATTTTGGGAAAATTTATCTGAAATTGACGTCGACGGCGAGTGAATGAGGACAGTAACGAAGCGCGTGGGCGTGCGTTGAAGTTTCACAACTTTCATATCGACACGACGTTATTATACTTATTAGACTTTCAAAATTCAGCTTACATCTAAGATGGCGTATGTGATCTGCGTGCCTCCTCGACTACACAAGTTCTTCGACGAATCCTTACATTACTTCCGCAACTCTCAAAACATGTCTATTTAGAATCATAAGAGGCTGCTGCTCCTGCCTTAAACATATACTTACTCCTAAATGCTTTAATGCGGTTATTCAGGCGTGCATTATTAGCATGCAGCTAGTTAATATTTTTCATACGTGAGTTATTTCTTAGTTTAACTAGTTTATCTGCAATCTCTGCTTTGACATGACCATGTTAGTGGCTTATTCAGTAATGGAATAAACACAGTACTCCTAATTGCACCCGAACCCTAAGTATCTAAGTAAATTCCTGCACATTCTCCTGAGAAATCTTCCTTCGCTCCCAACAGCTATAATTTGGCTACATCTCCCTTATGAAAAGGCTTTCATTCAAAGGATTCATGGTTGTTGAAACTATTTCGCATGTATTTTACAATACCTGTTGTTAAATCTTAGAAATTCAAGGCAAATCTTCCCAAATCACGCTGGCTTAATTTTGAAAAAACAAAAAACATAAACAAAAACAAAATAATAACAAAAGACAATATATTGCCCTTTGGCAAGTCGTATTCCGTAAATGAATCGTGATAAGAAATCGGGCAGCTATTTCATATTCAAATTATAAATATCATAAAGCCGTATTATCTAAATATCATATTAAGAATCAACATTTTTTTAGGCAAATAAATTATGGATAAATTAAAGTTTTATTTGTTTGATATCGAATCGCGCAAAATATTATTGCATCCTCCTGTGATAACACACACACGTACACGCATACGCATACAAATACATAACACACATTCGCATACACACGCATCCATAAGTATATATATATAGACCGGCCGTAAAGATAAACTATCAATGAACGTGGTTTGTCTAAGAGACGCTTGAGGACACTCGTAACGAATATCCAATACAAAAAAAAAAAAAAAACAAATACAAATAGCTAAAGGATACATAAGAGGATAAAAAACGAATCGTTAAAAGACAGGAGACAGGTCTTATTATAGCAATTCGATGAAACATGCATTTTTCTCCCTTTCCATAATTTTCCATTCTACTGATGCCTTTAACCTCCCTCTCGAAATCCCCCCCCCCCCCCCACCCTCCTCCCCGGCACCACCCCATTCCCACGCTTACCCACTAAGTCCTCTCCTTCTCCCGACAACTCCATTCCTATCGCTCGCTATCTCCCCGTCTCGTCTCTTTTATATACACAAACTCTCCATGGGAATATCGAAACAGTGGCTTGTTCAGCGACGAGTATAACAGGAGAGAGACGAACGGCAATTTGCCTCGACGAGTCGAATAAACGACGAGGAATGGAGAAACGGTTATATCCTCCATGTCTCTTGCTCCAATTATATGTATATACGGCAACGCGCATGCGTCTGCGCTAACGTAATAGTTTTTTTTTTCATTCGCTTATTTATCGACATTTAAAAACCTTGTATAAGGAAGCTCCGCATATCCTTATTTATGCACAGTAAAAGAGCAAGTAAGCTTATATTATTGAAGTGTTGGTTACCTTATGATATCCGTCATTGATAAATATCAATCCGAAATATTTTCCATTTTAAGCGGATAAAATCGAAATTCCAATATCACGGATTAGAATCTCTTAGCTGAGCCGTTAAATGTCCGCTTAACAACGAGTAACACCATCACATACGTCCATAATCGTAATCGACATTGTAATCCAGCCGAAGGAAGAGCTCATAATTCCATACGCTAGATGCGAAGGCTTTATTTCCTACCTAAATACTTCGGGCTCCAAGGACATTGTTAAGGAAGTAGGAGAGAGCTGTTGGGGAGAGTCCCGAGGATCGTTGGAGGCACGAAAGCTCGACATTATTCACAGCATTACAGCATATCGCTCGTAAACCTGTTTCAGGTTGTGTCTGGCAGGGTCGAGCCTGTCAGCTGGTGGTCCACCATGAGGACGGCTTCAGCCTGTATGTCGCGGGTACCCGGGGCATCACCGGGAACGGCATCAGCCCGGGCTCGCCACCGCCGACGCCACTCTGGCGACGACCTTTCGATAAGCTCAGGATGTCGGCGGATGATGGTGCGAGACTTCTTTGGCTTGACTTTGGTGGCGACGATGCCGAGATCGTAAGTACCTTTTGTGCTTGTAGTTGCTTGATTACTCCGGCGCTGAATATTTCCAGGTCGAATGAGAAAACTTGGCTTCTCTTTTACCGTCGACATCCGCGCTGATTATTTCACTAAAAAATTTTGCCATGTTTTAACATATTCGAGCATGTAATAATAATTGTAAGACATCGCCACTTATATTCAGAGTCGAATGTTCTTTTATAATAATACACTGTTAAGGTACAAAAACATAATTATCGGAGGCTTATTAAACGACGCGATTTAATAATATTGTAAGGATAGATAAATAATAAACGGTACAATTCACCGCAATACACGATACGTTATTTTTCTCCTATAATATTCTTAAATAACGAGCTCGTTATATAGGAATGTTAAACGCCGCTGTAAATTCGATTAAAATTGCTGTATAAATACTCGTTAATAGATGGGGCTCCCGTAGCCCCCCACCCCACCATCCCGGCCACGAACACCGATCATAATCAAATTTAAAAGTAACTGTTCGATCGCCGTAGGATATTAATAATCAAAGGAACTAAACGTAGCGAACTTTTCCCCCGCGATTCGAGCGAAAAGTAAACTTCTCCTCCGCTTTTCATAATACGCTTGAAACTTTTTCCATCCGGATACTTTTACATTTAAATAATGAAAAATATTTTACAATTCGGCTCTTTGTCACGACGACGCACGAGTCCCATAAAGTAGCATTGATTTTTGCACTATTAGAATTCATTTATTATCCTATTTGCTGATTTAATCACAACTGCAGAAGTTAATAAGTAAATAAGACTTACGAGCTTTATCGAAAGTTCGAAGAAACTGAGCAAATGAGATAAATCATAAATTTAATAGAGATAGAAAAATAATGATAACGATGTGCACGCGCGCTTTCATGTCGCATCGTAAGTAGTGTAGTGTGCCAATAGGCTGACGCATCCTTAATTATCAAGCCGATTAAGCGACAATAATTGCAGGTTACGAATTAACAATTTCAGGAACTGGATCTGGAAAGCTGCCCGAAGCCCATAGTTTTCGTGCTGCACAACTTCCTGTCCGCGAAGATACACCGACTCGGATTGAGTGCATAGGGGTACGAGGGGACCCCCACGGAGGTCCCCGATCTGCCACCCCACACCACAAGATCCGTCACCAGCGTATTTCTCCACTGAATTTTGTTCGTAACCTTCTTTCCACCGCGCTCCATCCTCCTGCGCCGCCCCTCACAAGGATAACCACATTTCTCTCGAGCCAATCGATCAAAACTAGAATTAAGCACGAGAAAATACACTAACGATTGTCTAGAGTCTCTTAAGATAATTACGATTGGCGCTAGAGGCTTCGTAAAATCTCCGTTACAAGACATCACCGAAAGTTGGCTTACGTGCCTCTATTATGCCCAAGTACGTGAACAAAGAGGGTCGATGTGCGTGCGCGTGTGCGTGTAGAGATAAGCCATGCCAAACGTGGAGGCAATTATGTGCGAATCGAAGGCATAACGAAACGCGGTTAACTTGAGCTGCACTAAAGGCGTCGACATAATCGAGCCCTTAAAATGACTCGAGGCGAGTTTAATGCAGGAGAAAGAGGAATGAGAAATAAAAGAAGAACAATAACAAGCAATAGAAGAAAGG